TAACAAAAGGATTTAGGACCCTAACTATAGTCTATGTGAAGCCCTTAATCGTTCATTCATTTTTTTTATAATTCATAAATTTATATTTACATCAATAGGAAATATTTATAGAACAAATCTCTACCAAGCTCAGCAAAAATTCCTTATTAGAAAGCAGGACGTACATTGTCAGCTACACTATCTGATGTCAAAATAACTTTCCAGTGAATAATGTCCCAACCATAATATTTTATAAAATCACAATGAATAATATACAATAATTATATAAATCACATGAGAAAGCAATTTACTATAAGCAGATCGATTAACTTAGAATAAAATATCTATGTAACTTTAATAACCAAAAACATTTAAATCAATAATGATAAAATAACTTCAACATTTGATCTTGACAAATCAAATAATTAAATAATGATTAATAATAACAATATTTACTAATTGAAAACCATTAAATATGAAATCACCAACTTAAAATTTATTTTTTTGGGAATTTATCAAAGAAATTCACAAACATGGACACACAATTCACAAGGATAAATAACCAAGCGAAGCTTATACCATGAAATAAACGTAAACACATAATCCACGAGGCTAAATAACCAAACACAACCGAAGCTACGAAGTAAACGTGGACACACAATCTATGAGGGTAAATAACCAAACGCGGCTTATGCCACGAAACAAACATGAGTACGATGCTCACGAATAACCATCCCTCCGTTCCACATGCGTAGGCTATCGCACGGGGCTAACACCTCCTATAAACACCCTACTAACTAGGTGTACTATGGCGCACTAAGGGCTAACAGAACTGTCGTTAGCAACTAGTGTTCTGTATAAAATCCCCTTGAAATTCATTTTCAAACATGCGAGAAAATAATCATTGTTAAATAAAATTTTTATTTGCAATGTCAAACTCACATGAACCATTTTCTGTATCAATTCAATATTTGATAAATAAAAATTTTATAATCAAATTCCAAACTTGTTTTAATTGATCAAATAGCATTTCAAATCTGGTAAAAATAATTTCTCAAAGTAAAGCAATTTTAACCAACAAATATCCAATAATCACATTATTGCTATTAAAATGATTTGCAAAAAGACGTAATATTTTAGCAGAGGAGATTTGACTGAAAAAAATTAATTGGAATGCTATCCACTTACCTGCAACGTTCTCAAATTCTAAAGGTTTTGGCCTTTTAACTCCTATCAAGATCCTCCCTTTTTTCGCACATCCTATAAGAATATAAATAATTAAAACTTTAATTAATTTCCTATAATTTATAAAAACTTCTTTTCACTTCTAACACAATCTCAATCAACTACAACCATTCAAAATTCCAAATACCAAAATTCATCTATTAAAATTTATCCAATTATTGTCATTTATACCTATAATTTCTTCAATCTTGCTCAAGCCAAACCAATCTATTTACTTAAAATATGATTATCTCTTAGGCTTGCCTCAAGTACCTCAAATGCATTGCTTCCAATTATTCAATTAAAACTTTCTAACCTTAAATATCTTGTTTAGTAATTTATCAATAACTCTACCGTTCCCAAGAATTTAACTTACTTATTAACTTCATAATCAAATTCCTTTGCAAGGTTCAAGTTCATGGATCAATAACATTCAAACTAGACAAACTTCTCTTAAGAATCAATAAAATCTCCAAAAATACATATTCAAAAAATCTTCTCCTAACAAGCATTTTATCGAACATTTATCATGCATTAATTCTCAAACTAATACCAAGCCTCTTCTCTTTTTCATCTCATCTCCCACAAATTACAATATTGACATTGAAATTAATCAACCGAACCCAATTCCAATCCTTTAACAAAAAAAAAATATCAGTTACTCTTTCAAGAAAATTAAATCTAATTCCTCCTTTTTCTAGTTCTGGCGTGAGTGGATTTATCTACTAAAAATCAGATTCCAAAACTTAAGATGTGGATCAAATGCATTTGTCCCCTCATAACTCACACAACAGCAATGGAAATAATAAAAAAATCACAATCAACCAAATAGCATACAAAGAACAGTGAAGAAGTGAAGGATTGAAATCTCCCACCTTATATTAAACATGGCAAAGCAGGAAAAGGGGAAGAACAAATCTATCACGTTGAACAGAGAAAGAAGAAAGAAACCTCGTACGATGAATCACTGTAGTCAGACAGAAGATAACTATTTCTGGCAGCCAGAATCAAGAAAGAAGAAGAAAGAACAATGGCATGCATGAACAGCGAACAAAGACAACCAAGGGAAGAAAACTCACAGTAAAATTTCACAACAATGGCAGACGGAGCTATCGCACCTGTCGACGACAACAAGTTGACTAGCGGAAAAGAAAGAAGAAGAACTAATAGCAACCAACTCAAGCGCACATGCAGGAGTTGAACTGAAGGACGACAGAGCAGGGAAGAGGAGAACTTCACGGCAGCAGTGATGGATGACGCTCTCTAGCACACTCACGCCGGTGATGTTGAAGACTGAAAAGGAATATGGATGGAGAACGCTGGTGGAATTCAAGAAGAGCTAAGGCCGGAAGTTCTGGATTCTCCTTCTCTCGGCTCTCGTAAAATGCCAAAATTGGATCAGGGGAAGAAATAAATCTGATGGGCCAAGGACCTTATGGTAATTTTACAAAAGTTGAAAAGTCAAAAGAAAGAAAAAATTCCCACTCTTGCCGTTGTAGGAATCGAACCTGACACCATAATTTTAATCTCAAGATACTTGCCATTACACCATCAGCTTGCCTTGATAATTTTGTCCCAAAAATATAAAAATATATTTAACTTACATTATTGTAAATTTTAAATTAAATATTATTTTATTATTTTCTTTTCTAGGTTATTACAGGAGGTTCGGGGGTTAGATGATCATACTAGTGTAAAACTATGTGTTCTGTTGAGAAGAGATACATATATCTCATAATTATGGTATGCTTGTTATTACTATGGCTTTGATACTTTTTCATGGTTATTTGTAGTAATAAACATTTAATGAGCTATATGGGTTATTGAGATGTTTAACTCACCCTGTGATTATATTTTACAGGTGAGAGTTCCGGTAAGGGTAAGGGAAAGGAAGGAGCATCTGAAGAGTAAAGAGCATTGTAGTATAGCTCTTCCCTTTCTCCTTTTTGGTTTTGTAATGAATATTGTCACTAAATATTGCCAACTTTAGAACATGGCATACTTGTGTGAATCTTGTGATAAGTGTCTATATCTTAGTCCAAGTTTGATGTATTGATTAAGCGTATGCTTGGCCAAGTTATATTTACAAGTGATATATATATATATATATTTCAAGTGTTTTGAGTGTCAAAATGACCAATTGATTGATGTGTTGAATTTTGCCCACCCCATTGTGTTTTTATCCAATGGAGGTTTGGTGGTCATTTTGAGCGCGATTGCTTAATTGTGTAATATGAATGGATTGTTATGTAGTGTGTGGTCCATTTGAGGTGGTCAAGGTGTCTCTGAGGCTAATAGCATTGTGTATTGTGAGTTGGACACCATAGTATGTGTTTTGTTGTGAAAACAAATCATTTTAGATTCAGGTGTCCATCTTTTAGAAGGGTGATTGTTTAAGTGTAAGACTAGTGTCATTAGCTAGAGAGCTCAAAGAGCTTTGTGTGGACACTTGAATTACTCAAATCAAATATCGGATAGCGAAACGACGCACTTTAAAAGTTCGAAAAAAAGTCATGATAGCAATCTACTATCATGACAGCAGGTGCGCGCCGCGGTGTAAGAGACCTATAAGGTAGGGCTGCACAAATACTGGACTGGACCGGGTTGGATGCCAACTTGAAGTCTAGTTTGAATGGAGACCGGGTTGGAATTTTCAGTCCAAAGACTGGTCCGGTCATGTTAGACCCAGGACCTAAATTGAGTTGGACTTGGTCCACCGGGTTACTGGACCAGTCCAGTCTCTTGAATCTAACTCTCCCTAAAAAAATGGAACACTAAAAGAAAAAATTGAAAGACCCATATGACTACATAAATGCTAATCCAAACATCATCTTCGCCACACGTTTATGGTACTATTTGTTACCTCCAACTCTCGTCAACCCCCTCAAACATGCATGCTAGATAAGTACCAAGTAATAAACTTATTAATATATTCATATTCAAAATATATACATCTCACCATAGTCTACTTAATCAACAATTCAACATTTCATTATCAAGCTCTATAGTCTATCCAAAAAAATGACTATCCACATATTCTAGCTAACCACATGACATGATATAGCTAGCTAGCCAAAAAACAAGCATTAACCTATCAAACTATCATCATGCTTCTTCACATAACAAAAAGTTAGTGAGATGTGCCCAAAATATATTCAAAATATCTAAAAGTTTGAAAGTTAACAAATATAAGCGCCATACAACATCAAATGACGCTCACACAACCATCCTCTCCAACATCAGTAACATTGGAAAGATCTGAAAAAATATATAAAATATAAATAGTCAATGGCATTACATCACAAATAAAAAAAACAAAAACAACTGAAACATATAATAATTCATATAAAATATAAATAGTTAATATCATCATTGCAACACATACCAGTCTTCACCACACCCTCGGTCTCCTGAAAATTATCAAATTCTTGAAGCATGGATGCAAATTCAGAGATGGATTGTCCAGGAATCAGCCAATTTTGAGCACAGATAAGTGCTTCAGTCATCTTTAGTGATAATGAACTCCTATAAGAATCCACTACACGTCCTCCTGTGCTGAAGGCTGATTTAGAGGCCATTGTAGACACTGGAACAGCCAAGACATCATGTGCCATCATAGAAAGAACCTTGTATTTGCTAGAATTGGCTCTCCACCATGCTAATATATCAAAATCATCATCAACAGGGGTATCATTAGTGGAATTAGATGAAAGATATTTATCTAATTCTGATTATGGGTCTGATGAGGTTTTTCTTTTCTGAGATGCTAACCACCTGCGATCTGGATCTATACCCCCTTAGCCTTCAAGTATTGAACATGTTGATGATCCTAGAACTATAGAAGAAGAAGCATTGCTTGGGGTACTAGTCCCTAGTCCTTTAGAATACTCATTAAATATGCAGTACAAGACATCTTTGATCTTAATTTTTATGGCCATGCAAACTTCAAGATCAGGAAAAAGCTGCTCAAATATATGATTCACATAAGCAAGCTTGTACCGAGGATCCAAAATCACCGCTACAATGAGTAAAGGATTCATATTCTCTGTTTGACCCCAATATTTTTCATACTTGCTTCTCATACTTAGGGACATTTCCATAAGCAAAGGATCAACATTCACAATGTTATCTTCCAACAACTCATGAATAAGAGCAATTTGATGGAAACAAGTGTTAGAAGTAACATTTAGTGAACTTGAAAACATCAAAGTTATGTCATAGAATACCTTCAAAAATTTGAGAAAGACACGTGCCTTGTTCCAATCACTAGCTTCAGGAGGGCCTTCACGCTTAGTGCCTCCAATGAATTGCCCCATATAATCTTCATCTTCATCTTCTAGGCGTTCAAAAGCCTTTTGAAACTTCAAAGCAGATTCCAACATCAAGTAAGTTGAATTCCACCGAGTATTGACATCAAGGCAAACAAGGCTAGTAGTGTCCAATTTCTCCAACTCAGCAACACTTTTAAACTTTTGGAGACGAGCAGGAGAAGAAAGAACATATTTAATTGCATTGCGGATAGCATCAAAGCTATTCTTCAACTCCTTCAACCCATCATTAACCACTAAGTTAAGAATATGTGCACAACATCTCAATTGAAGGTAATCACCCCCACAAACCATGCCCTTCCAATTCCTAAGCCTTCTTTTCAAATAAGACAAAGCCGTGTCATTAAATGATGCGTTGTCCATTGTTATGGTAAACACCTTCTCAATTCCCCATTCTAATAGACACTTCTCAATTGTCTTTCCAATTGTGTCACCCCTATGATTCTCAATCATGCAGAAATTTAATATCCTCTTATGCAACTTCTACTCAGGATCAATGAAATGACAAGTAAGGCATAAGTAATTGAAATTTTGAGTAGATGTCCAGCAATCAGTTGTCAAGCAAACATGATTTGCAGACTTCTTCAACACTTGCTTCAACATCTTGATTTCTCCAAGGTATAGTTGCCAACAATCTCTAGCAACTGTTATTCACGAAGGAATTCAAAATCTTGGTTCCATCTCTCTCACAAAGTTTCTAAACCCGTACTTCTCAACTATCCTGAATGGCATCTCATTACAAATAACAAATTCAGCCAATGTCCTTCTACATCATTTTTAGTTGAAAACATGAGAAACTAAGCCCCCTCCTTGCCCACTTGGCGTCATGTAGTTCAACATTAATTGCTTTGGTATTGTGGTAGCCTTATGTGGGTTTTTAGGACATTTTGGAAAGTGCCTTTTCAATGATGTTGTCCCATGCTTGTTTGGGTCACAAGCATAAGTTGCATGACAGTATTTGCAAGAAGCTCTAACCTCTCCATTTTTTTCTTCCAAAGGTAACTTCACAAAATGCTCCCAAACTTGTGATTGTTTACTTTTCTTCTCAGGCTCTTTTTTCTTTCTTCTCACATTCTCAGGACCACAATCTTGTGCAAGGTTAGAGGCAGGATCAACAGCTACAGGAGGAGGAGTTGGTGGAGTTGGTCCAGTAGGAGGTGGCATTTTATTTTAACTAGAACCAATTAATTGTGTTGGCAAGGGTTGGTCAATACTAGCAGATGCAGAAGTTTCATCCACCATGTCTCTAACATGAAAAACAAGACACAATGTTAACTTATAAAATCACAAACACAAATATAGAGTCAGAATTTTCTCAAAGAAATATATCATATACAGAGCCACTTCTTTGTCATGATCAGTTGATCACTGGCAAATCAAATGCAACAATTAATATTATAAGCACAGATAATCTAATAATCCACAAATATATCATATGCAGCAACTGTCAAGCAAGAAAGACAATGTTTCAAAGATTAAGTTCTCGTGAATTATGAGAAAATCAAGAATCAACCAAACTACGAGGCTTCTGAATCCTGATAAAGCAATAAAACCGAACAAAAAACACCCCAAAACCCTAGTTGTAGGATGAATTCTGAGAAAATCCTCAACCCAAATAGAAGGAAGAACAGGGATTGTTGACGAAGACGATTTAGAAACAAATTATGGGAATAATATAGTCAAAGACAAGCACTTTCACCTACCCACTTCTTGGCTTTCTTGAACAGCCCACATCTTGTTCTTTCACTGTAGGTTTAACTATAACCAAACAATGAAGCTCTTAACAATATTGCATCTCTCACTGTACCAACCTCAACGAAAATCAAACAAAACCAGAAAGAGAGAAGTAACAAAATAGAAGCATGCGAAAATAGAATAGAACTCGTCGGAGAAGCTAGAAACAAAGCAAGAAAAACCAGAAACCAAACAAGCAAAACCAGAATGCACGATAAATCAGAAGGCCGAGTGAAGAAAAACTAGAAACGGAGTAAGCAAAACCAGAAGAAGAACCACAAAATATGAATACCTTTCAGCTGCCAACGCCGTCGTCAAAGAAGAAGGAGGAAAATGCACGGTAAATCAGAAGGTTAAGTGAAATAGTCAAGCGATCGCGATGTTCTTCTTCGACTTCCTGCTTGAGGAGAAACTGGGCGACAGCTGACCAAGGAGAGGCAGAGAGATGAGTGAAACTTCAGAGATGTACAGTGACAGCAACTGGCAAGCAAAATAGAGAAATGACTTGAGGTGCTCAGCTCAGACAAACTTCAGACTTCAGAGATCGAATTTGAGGCATATGCGCGTGAGTAGGGAGCGTGAGCTGTGAGGCGTGAGGTGAGGGTACTATACTACTGACTAACTACTGAGAGTCTGAGCTCATGAGTCACAGAGTCTGCATAATTGATTTTTGTGGAAATAATATAATTATTTAATATTTAATATTAAAAAAAACCTGGACCGGGCCAGACTAATTGGTCCAAAAGAGCAGTCTCCAGTTTGGTCTAACCCGTTTGTGTAGTCTGACCCGTTTAGTCCAGTCTTTTATTCGGGTTCATTTTTTTAGGACCGAGTCACACTGGGTCGAACCAAACAGACCGGGTCTGAAGTTTCTTTGTTCAGCCCTACTATAAGGGATTTTTCCCTCTGTGCCATCCACCACGGCGGACAAACCAGATAAAGGCAAAATAATTTGTTTTAGTCTGTTTTGAAGTGAATTGATTTTCATGCTTCCGTATTTGCTCTTAATCGATTTTTAACCATAGTTTGAGCTTAAACAATATATATCCCAATGTTTTAACTAATTATCTTTAAACACTTGAGTTGTGGCAACTTTTTCTGAGGATTTTATTTAATCCGAGTTATCATAATAATGCGTGTGTGTTGTCCTGGTAATGTCAAGGTGGACATTACACTTTACTTCATATTAAAATTTATTGAAACCTGAAATATGAAATCACTAGCATTTTCAAATAAATAATCTCAATTACTAAGCTAAAAAATGTGCACATTACATAATTTTTCCTCACAAACTTCAAGTTGTGAATTGATTAATATGCATGCATGTGATCATCTTGTAAATGTATTTTCATTATATCTTTGCATAGTTCACAGGGTGCCTATATGAGCTCATATCAACTTAATATATTTCATAAATGTCCGGGATCCAATGCCAATCATAGCTAGTAATAATCTCATAATATTCTTTAAGCAGCATTTGAGAATTCTTTAAATATATAACATGTTAGCTGTTAGGAAGAATTTATTGGTTCTTCAAATGATATTATTGTGAATTCTCAATAATAGTTTGCATCAATAGATGATCTAACCAATCATACCAGATAATATCAGCACGCTTATGGTATACTAGACCAAATCAAAAGTAAACTTCCGGTTTACTATGACAATGTTTTCTATCATTATTGTAAACTTCTAGCTAAAATTACAATTTTAATATGACATTCAATAATTAATATGACAAAATATTTGAAATTTAATAATTTATTTGAAACTCAAGAATATCATAAATAAATTTTTCTTTGTGAGTACGAAAATTCCTTGAAAGCCTTTGTCAATTTTGTCCTTCTTGATGCAACAATAACAACACCACTTATTTTCTAAATGAAGGATTAGTTAATCTTTAAATTTATTTATAGAGATTATTTTTTTCATTGTATATCTTTTATTTAATAATAAAATGGTTCAGGTTTTCATAAGTTCTTCTGGAACTAAATCATAAATGATACTAGGAAACTCTTGTTGTTCATTTCTAGCTTTTACAATCATTCATCATAATGATAGTCAAATTTAAATATCAAATTATAATCATTATTTATTCTAAGTAAATTAAAATTTATCGTTTACTATAATCATTATAAGAAAAATCAACAAATCGACTATATGGACATATATTTAAAGAATTTAATGAAAAGAAAAATATGTTCACTTGCTCACCTCCTTCTAGAGAATTCTTTCATGAGAAGATCATTCATATGTAATTTCTTTCAAAATTAATTTCCAAACACCAATAGAATTTTTCTTGAAATAAATTTTCTCAATAAAATAATTAGAATTATTTATATATAAATATTTTCATATATTTATTGTTATAATTACTTTTCATAGCCATTCATGAACATTTTCCTAACACTTTTCTCAAGTTCAATAAACAATAGGCAATGTATCTGTATAACTATCGGCCATATTGTTTTGTAATATAAACTCTATTGACTATAATATTTAGGATTATAAAAAAATAACTTCTTAAACTCAAGAATTTCTTTTAAACTATTGGCCTTTAGAATTGTGATAGTTAAAACACTGAATTAATAATCAAAATCTCCACCGAAATTCCACAAAGTTTATATCAATCATTAGGATTGTAACATTATCCTTTCACAAAATAATTATAATAAAAATGACGTAGCTTTTGACTATATAATAACAAAATTAACTGTAACTTATAATCATATAATTATAAAATTAAGGAAAAATTAATCTTTTAATCCTCCAACTTTTAAGTCACTTATAACTCAATCCCTCAACTATGACTCGCTGTGACTCAGTCCCTCAACTATAACTCGCCTAATGACTCAGTCCCTCAACTTTTGAATCACTTACAAATTAGTCCCTTAACTTTTGTTAATTTTTTTTTCATGTTAACTTCTATCTCACATTAATGAATAAGAAGAGGATATTTTAAAATAATATATGAGCATTTTTTACCCCTCTTATTTGACAAAAAAATTTAAAAAAAATTAAAAAATAAGGACCGAGTTATAGGTAAATCAAAAGTTGAGAGATTGAGTTGCAACGAGTTATAGTTGAAGAACTGAGTCGTAGCGAGTCATAATTGAAGGATTGAGTTACAAGTGAGTTAAAAGTTGAATGACTAAAAGATTAATTTTTCCTAAAATTAAATATGGCTTTTGACTATATAATCATAAAATCAAATATGCTTCTTGCATATAATCACAAGATCAAATATGGTTTCTGCCATATAATCATAAAATTAAATATGCCTTCTAACCATATAATAATGAAATCAAATATGATTTTTGGCCATACAATAACAAATTAAATATGACTTTTGGCCTTGTAATTTATTATAACTATAAATTGGTCGTTTATGAAATAATAAAAATTTTAAGTTCTGTGGCTTTAGTCCATCTAATCATATAATCAAAATAATATGACTATTAATCATCTTATTGCAAAAATATTAACGAGAAGTAAATAAAAGAAAATAAAAACAAGATACGTGTGTGTGTGTGTGTGTGTGTGTGTGTGTGTGTGTAAACAAGTATAATGAAGCCACGCTATACATATAACACTTTATATATATGTATATATTAGAAATTCAGAAGAAGGACCCAACTGTCGTGCAATATATATTAATAACGCTGGTAATTTTAGATTATCATATAATCAGAAATAGAAAATTGAGATATGATTCGAACAAATAAAGTAAACTAATTGAGATATGATAGTTACAATTCTCGATTATAAAATATAAAAAAAATTTGTAGAAAAAATAAATATTTAAATATAGATATTTTTAAAATTTATTTATGGGTTAACTTTAAGTTTTGTAGATAGCTTCATGATTTACTTTATCTTTTATATGAATAACTTCAGAATCCACTTTAAGTGCTGTGAATAATTTCAGAATCCATTATATCTTTTATGTAAATTGCTTCAGGATTCACTTTATATTTTATATGAATAATTTTATGATTGATTTTATATTTTATATGAATAACTTCAGAATCTATTTCATGTTATGTGAGGATAACTTCATAATCCACTTCTCTAAAAAGTATATATGTAGATAGCTAAACAAATTATATATATGAACAATGAATTAAAAATAAGAAATTGATTGTAGGATATTTAAATAAATAAATGATTGAATGTAAATATTTTTTACATTATTCCGTGTGAGTGTATAACTTCAAGCTCCATTTTAAGCTATGTGAATATCTTTAAAATTCACTTTATATTTTTATATGAATAACTTCAAGATTCATAATAATAGGCATTTTGAATAATGTAAATAATTTTGGAATTTACTTTGTATTTTATGTAGTAATTTTTAAGGTTCGCCTTATATTTCTATGTGAACAACTTCAGTATTTACTCTATCTTATGTGTGGATAAGATCAAAATTC